ATATATGCGTGAAAAGTTCGATATTTTTATAATATGTGTTCTGAGTATTTGTGTGTCAATGGGGATGTACTACGATATGATTTTGTAAAGACGAGCATGCTTTGTGAGCTTGTCTAAGCCGTAAGTGCGGACATGCTGTGTGAGTTCGCCAGGTAATGCTGTGTGAGGTAGACATCTTCCATGACGCTGTTGCTTTGTGATGTAGACACGCGCTAAAATATCTTTATTTTGTGAAAATCATTATTCTCATCAAGGCATGCTAAATTTATGAAGCTTCGTGAAAATTGTTTTTTTATAAAAGTTGTTGTTCATGCATGAAAACTGTGGATTCACTGGGCCTAAGGCTCACCCAAAACTCTTTTAAAACTTTTTCAYCCAGGCGGCTGTTAGACTGGAAAGAAAAGTTGGATAAAGAGAGAAATAAGGATTAACATCAAAGAAGGACATGTGCAGATCAAGACATTGTTATATCGAACAAAGTATGTTCGTCAAKATTGTAAGTTTAGATGGTGATATAAATTGTAAGATTAGAAATTTTATTTCCGCTGCAATGTAAGTGTTTGATCTTAGGATGCTCATTATGATATATTGAAGCATTTGAAATTTTGGGATGTTACAGCATCCAATTCATCTTTCTTATATACTTCATTTTGTTCAAAATTTTCAATTCTTCGTCAATGTGGGATATCTCAAACTCAACCAAAATTCACCAACACCTCAATACTCAATTCTCATGATGTCACCTCAATACTCTTGGTTCTTCCTTTAATATATACATATAGATTGAGTATTCTCAAATGATAGATTATAATTGGTTTTAGCTATCTCACTTTGATGATACCTTTGTATATGTATACAAATGTTGTTTTTACATTTTTAGAGAAAAATGGCAAAAAAAAAAAGATAAAAATAACTAAAATAACCCTTAATTTAACTAAGTTAATAAATTTATTTAACAATATTAATCAAATAAATAATAACCAAAATAAATTAATACCACAAAAATTAAATCCATAATAAACCTACTATAAATATGCTAATTAAGATATCAAAAGAAATGGAACAAATCACAAATTCACTTAAAATGGTTTTTAAGGATGGTGTTGGCGTAGAGAAAATTTCAAAGAGGTGGAGTGTAATACACGCTCTGGGATACGCGTGAAGAAGGCTATTTATCGAGATAAAACTTCTCTCCCACACGAATTAGGCCTCCTCTGTACGACTGCGCGCATTACGCACCCCCCCTTTGCCCTTTTTTAGGTTTAATCCAATTACCAATTTACATCAATACCCTCCAACCTCATATATATTTCACAATTTATTTTTATTTTCTTAATTTTTCAAAATTAACAATTGAAAACAACCAAACCCTAGAAGACAGAAAACACAAATCGGTGATCCGAGAGTTTAACAAACATCAATTCACCTTCAAAACAGCTTACCAATACAAATTATTCTCCCAATTTGAAGAAAAAGGTTAGTGATTTTGTTAATTTTGTTGTATTGATTGTTTCCCCAATTTACTGGTTTTGATTCAAGATCTTTGATTTTGATTTTCTTGTAGTATATACTGCTTTAATTTTTATTTTTTGGATGATTGGAGTTATTGCTGCATCTTTTGTTGATTGTTTTGCTTGATGAGCTTAGGTTTTGGGGGATTAAAGTCAAGTATTTTACTTTTTAAATTTAAATAGTTGGCCCTTTGATTTGATCATACTTTTTGCTGTAGACGAAATTCCTACGTGTTCTGATGATACTAATTCATCTTATTGTTAATTCTTCTTTGTGTGGGGATTATGAAATTATCTGTTGCTTTTCAGTTGATAGTTTCATCATCTTCAAATCTTTGATTGTTTCCTATCTTTTTTCCCGTTTTGGGGTAATTTAGTTTCTGAATACAAAGATCTATGACGGTTTATGAAAAAGTATTAATAGTTGTGTTGTGTAATGTTTGCTAATCTGGATTGATGAAACGATTGATATTCATTAGGAAACCGGATCTTCTTACTGTTGTACTAGAAAATGCTATTATCTTGTCGTTTGTAATCCTTAGCAATTGTATGCCTGCCCTAATACAAACTAGTGAAGGTTGCTTTTGAATGTGTTGTTTGCTTTTGTTATCTTGTTATGTTCCAACCATATGCTTAGATATAATTTGGTTTTTGTTGTTGATGGAGGTTTCTTTTTCTTTAATTTGTTGTTGCAGGTTTTAGTTGACCTATTCGCTAGTTTAACTATACCATGAGGTTCAAGAAGGGTAGCAAACTGGAGGTTATGAACAAGGAGGTGCCTGCATCATGGCATGTTGCAGAAATCGTTTCTGAAAATGAACATGCTTACAATGTGAGATATGATGGTTGCCAAGGTGTGGAAAAGGTATCTAGGAAGTTCATCAGGCCTTGCCCTCCTGCAAACGGTTCAAAGAGGTTGGTGAGTGGTGATATTGTGGAAGTGTTTGATAAGAATTCCTGGAAAATAGCAACTGTATCAAAAGTTTTACGGGGGGGTCGCCTTTTGGTGAGGCCACATGGGTTCACCCATGAAATGAGCGTCAATAAAAAGAACATCAGGGCAAGACAGTCCTGCCGTGATGATCAGTGGATTCCAGTTGGGAAGGTAATTCTTTTTTCATCCATTCGCTTACTATCCCTTAATTTGACTTGTGGTTTTCTTTCTTCTTAGAAAAATAACCTTCAGGATTTGTTTAAGGCATTCAAATATGCACGGTTTCTTATTTGTATGAATGATTCTCATCTACAATCCTAATCTTTTTTGGTGATCTGTTGGCTACTATATATAGATATCTGGAAGCTATGAAGATTTGAAATTTGGGAAGGCAATTGAACCAAATTGTTCTGTGAAGATGGACATCCAGGCGCTGCTAGCTGGTTCAAAGATCTGTCAGGAAGAGGATGATTGCTTACCTGTCTACATTGATGCTAGATTACAGGAATCTTATGCTGTATCTAAGAAGCTGAAGAGAACTTCCCCCTTTTCCTCATCTCTTCTTGAAGGTCCTAGGAAAGCCAAGAAATTCAAAGCTGCTGAGAAAGGTTGCAGTCAGAGACATGTTTCAGGACATTCATTCAATCAGGTAGATGCTTTTGCTTATCCAGGAGATACTCTGGGTAACAAATACGTGCAAGCCTCCTCTAACAATAGTTTAAATGGTTATTGTGAAATGGAGAAAAGAAAAACAAATGGTGTTGGCTGTACACTTGCAAGAATATCAGAATCTAATGACTCTGATACTGACCTGTGCTCTGTGGGTAGTTGTAGTGTTCCTAGTGACGGTCATAAGTTGTCTAGTCCTTATGATGCAGTTACTTGTCAAGGAACAGATATTCTTTCTAGTGATGGGGAGTCTTTTAATACTTCACGGGATGAGGAGGGAAAGTGCTCCCCTCCTGAACAGGAAGTAGCAGTGAGTATTCATAGGTTAGAGTTGCATGCTTATCGTTCCACTTTGGAGGCACTATATGCTTCTGGCCCACTAAGTTGGGAAAAAGAAGCATTATTGACCAACCTTCGTATTAACCTCCATATTTCAAATGATGAACATTTGACAGAGCTAAGGCATTTAATATCTTCTGGAGCTGGTATTCTTGATTGACAGTGAATTGACTGTTTTCTTTCTTTACCTTTTCTTTTCCCCCCTTTTAAGATTAGGATGTTCTTGTACAATTCCAATAACATTGTAAGAAGTAATATGAGGTATTAGATGTAGTAGCTTCCTCTGCCAAATCTCTGCAGCTGCCTCGAATTTTCGATTTTGTATTTAGTAATGCAATGTATCTAAGCTTTTATGAGATGAAATCAAGCTCCATCTTGTTTTTCATTATTTTGTACATCATAAACTATTGTCCAATTTTATGATAAATATCTTGAACGTCCATTCAGCTACGAGAAAAGAGTTTCTGGTGCCATTTATGTTCAGGGATATTCAAGATATTGTGCCCATTTTCCTCATCTTCTGTTATCCTGTTATTATCATATAATGCTAATACAGGGATAATTCATGCTCATGTTGCACCAGATAGTAGCGATTGATATTATCGTTAATTCTTTATTGTTGTGACCTTAGAGTTCATACTTGTCCATTTAACTGTTATGTATGCAGATTATTTGTATATATTTCTTGCACACTTATGTAGCATTAGCAATTCAAATCCAGTGCATATGAAGTCTGGAACCCAGATTACTTCTATTTGCTGTTTTGGTTCAGTTTCATGAAGATAGATGTATTGTTGTGTATGTTACTTTGGTTGGAATCTTGTTAAGATTTCTTCGAAATATTCACTCTACTTTAAGGATAACTTCCTTGTTTCTTGTTTCTTTTCTCTACTTTCTTTTTTAGAATGTTATTGATGGTTCCTGTACGTTTTCCAGAGCCACAATTGGAGGCATGCATCTCTTGCTTCCAAGGGTCCAAACAAGATTCTGGTTCTGCTGCCTTTCTCTTGGAAAAAGCAGTGGGACATATTCAGCATCCATTTGCTACAGATAAGACAGTTTGTTGCCATTGGCACTTATCTGAACAATAAAAAGATAGTGGCGGCTCACTGATTCAGCCACCACTGTCATTGTTTATCATTATTAGCTGACTGTTGCTATTTCAGGCCAGCCTTCATCTTTCGTCACTAGCTGGAGATGATATGTTGATAAAAGGTGTTTTTGCTTAGTTTTTACCTGTATTCTTGCGACATACAAGCATGTCTTCATATTGGTCTTGGCTATCTTCTCTATTTTCATGTTTTGTCATTATTTTAGTCCTCCAAAATATTTACTTTACATTTGAAAACAAAATTTGTTTTTGGATTTTAGAACATAAGCCATTGAATGTGTAAGATCCCACATCGGTTGGGGGAAGGGAACTAAGATTGCCTTATAAGGGACTAGATACATCCTCTACCAAACGCTTTTTAAAACCGTTAGTCCGTGCATGGACAAAGCGGACAACATGTGGTACGATTGACCTAGGGTGTTACAGAATTATTTCTTAGTCCTCCAAAACGCTTTTTAAAACCGTTAGAAGCTTATTCCCATTTTTTGGTCCCCTTTGCTCTTCTCTGCACATTTTTATTGGTTTTTATGTGGTTCTACCATCTGCAAAAGACAAGGGTATGTTGCTTATGAAGAAGACTTCCAGCTGATAAGTCTTGGTACGCCAGGTTCACCTTTTCTGGAACATCCTCTAGTTAGAAAATCACGGTTTTTCTCTGATATATCTTTGGCTTATTGTGTAATAATTAGCACCGAGGGTTGCAAAGAAAGCAGCACTTATTAAATAAGTGTATCCTATGCAATGTTTTTTTGACTGCACTGCAGGTTTGTTGTGAGAGGAAACCTCATGTGAACTGTAAGTAAACTACACTACAGATTTTCATCTGAGTGGAGAGCATCATGCATAGACTTTGTTATTGATAATATAAGAAAAGAACAACTTAAGAAACCTGACAACAACTAATAAGATGAATTAGATGGTTTGTTGGTAGAGGCGATTCTGGAGCTACTAATGTTACTCATATGACTGGAAACCAACATTTATGCTGTTCTGAGTCATTGTTTCCTGCTGCCCCGATGAAAGTTAATGGAAATGATTCATTTATCATCAATATTATACTGTAACATGATCAGTCTCTCTCTTATTTGATATGTTAATTGAAAAGATAGACGATTTTGTGCTGTGTTTGCTTATTATGAAACTACTATACTATTAGCGTTGAACATGAAGTCTGTGTGTGTAACTTGTTATTTGTTCTGGTGACGTCTTAAATTCGAGTCACAGAAACAGACATGCTGCATACGCAAGATGTGTTCCCTGGAGACTTGGCTCCCTTCCCTTCATTCAGGTGAAGTATTTTTGAACATTTAAAATTGTAACTACCTCTTCATGATGGTATGCGAGTGGTGTAATGGTTTGGCCAGATTTGTGCAATAATGAAATTGAAGTTTGGTGGCCTTTAAATATAATGAAGTTCCATGGTACAAATCAGTGGGGACTCAATATGACCCATCTTAAAGTAGTTTAATACTCCCTCCATCATAAAATAAATGTCTAAAATGGTAAAATACGAAATAAATTTCCTTTACCTTATAATTAATGATAAAATGAGAAAGTAAACATCTATTTTTGAAAGTTGATATTTACTTTAAGACAAACTAAAATAGTAATGTAGACACTTGTTTTGGGGCAGATGGAATAGTTTTTTATGAAAATGTTGAAAATATCATTAGACAATAGTAAAATAGAAGAATATTGTGGTAAAAAACATCATTTGTCAAAGGTGACAATGACCAGACAGATGAAAGGTTGGATGTATTGCAATTTGATGATGATATTCGCTTTTCATAAATCCTTTTTCTAATTTTCAGACATCAAGAAACAACATAATAAAAGTGCTATTGAAGAATTTCATGATTGCAGTCTGGTTTTTGAACCATTGAAAAGTTTGATATGATTATGTTATATACAATTAATGATGATGTTAGTTATATGACAGGAGGGATGAAGGTGATGGGTTTGAGTTTCATGGCATAGGTGGATGAATGGATGGAAGTCAACAACAAGGGTGATCCTGAATACTTGTGTGTATATATTTCCATCTTCCAACATGTATAATAGGAGAAAGATAATGTTGCATTTTGTTGACATTTACAAATGATGCAAGTTCGAGCCAGTAAATGTGCAAATATTTTGATAGAGAAATAACGAATTTCTATGAGGCTCTTACTAGACCCTTACACAGTAATTATTTACTCAAGTCATTTTCCTACCGGGTAAATATGGGCCGAAAAATTACCCACTAAGAGCAATGATAAAACTCTTACCTCGGAAGTGAGGGTGATGACTCTTATCCTACTTACGAGGTAAAATAAGTTTCAAGTGGTGACTTTTACCGGATAAATGTTCAGGTAAACAGGCCCATAATGTCATGTTGTTCTAGATTTTTTTTATCATGAAAACATTTAATTGAATTAAAAAACTTCAACCAAAACCATCATAATCATCATTATCATTTTGAATAAAAATATGTAAAACAAAGATAGATGATAAAAATTACAGTAATTGCTTTCTTGTTATCCTCTCCCAAATGCAGGATTCTTGTCTCTACTCAAAAGCATCATCATCATCATCTGGAAGGGGTTGACTTGCAGCTTGTGCAAGCTCAGCTTCATGCCTACAAACATGTATATAAATAAATTAATAAAAGAGTATAAAAATATGAGATTGATGTCAACAAAAAGAAAGAATCAAATATCTTACAGTTGTTGAGCAGCAAGATCAAATTGGACTTCTGGTGGAGCAAGTGCAGGAGACTCAACAAAGTGCAAGTTAGGATCCCTAATCACAAACCCAAATTTCATAAATCTTTTAACTTTTTGTCGTTTTTAACTCGTAATTTAATTAATAATCGTTACTCTTACCCAGCAAGTTTCCTGGCAAGGTACAGGAAAGGCTTCTCAAAGTTGTAGTTACTCTTGGCTGATATCTCATAATACTGCAGGTTCTTTTTTCTGTGAAATGTAACCTGTTTTGCTTTCACTTGACGGTTCTTCACATCAACCTTGTTTCCACATAGTACAATCGGAATGTTCTCACATACCCTATCACCAAAACACCACTTAAATCTCTAAAACACCCTCCTTCCCGTCAAAAAACCAAAAGCAACATAAAACATACCGGCAAAGATCACGATGCCATGTGGGTACATTCTTGTATGTCAATCTGGCTGTTACATCAAACATGATAATGGCACATTGACCATGAATGCTGCAACCAAATCATTCAACCAATTTCCTTGTTAGGGCTCAAGAATTCATATGATTGCATGCATAGCAAAAACTGGAAATATAAACGATACTTACTAATATCCGTCTCTAAGACCACCAAATTTCTCTTGCCCAGCTGTGTCCCAGCAGTAAAACCGAATCTTACCACAGTTAGTGAAGAAATCCAAGGGATGAACCTCCACACCAATTGTCGCTAACCATGATCAACAAAACAACATTATCAACCATTTATGTCCGAGAAAAAAAGTTGGTTACATGAACTCCAATAAGTAACAATATTTAACCAGTCATTACGTTCATATTTCTTCTCAAATTCTCCGGTCAAATGTCTCTTCACAAATGTAGTTTTCCCTGCACAAACAGAACTATCAGACACACTTATAACCAAAGTCCCCATGATAATGACCGCCAATAAAAATCTAACTAAAACTTTCATAGTAGCGGAGTTGGGGGTCTCTAGGAACACAGCTTCTATACCTAATTTCTTCACAAAACGTTTTATTCGCAAGACTTTTTGCAAGTTGGGGGTCTCTAGGAACACAGCTTCTATACCTAATTTCTTCACAAAACGTTCTATTCGCAAGACTTTTTGCAAGTTGGGGGTCTCTAGGAACACAGCTTCTATACCTCAATCTCTACCCCTTGAAGTGGAGGAAAGGTTTACGTGCATCTTGCCAACATCATTGATAAGAAAAAGGTTCATTTGGTTTGGTTTGGATATTCGATTGGGTTGTTTAAATTAAAATACATAATCCTGATCATTTGATGCTAGAAAATTTGTCATGTTATATTCCTTAGAAATGATCTTATCAAAATTTTAAAAGGCGAACCCCAATTATGGAACAAAGTATTAAGCAGGGCAGAAGATTCCCATGATATAAACCCTAAACCTAAAAATTGTATTAAGATGACAGATATCGAAGCTAAAAGGAAAACCATAGATTGATCACGAAATCCTATGAAGCTATTATAATCTAATATCACACAAACTAAACCCTAATTAAGAAATCATATGATAATCAATCTTAGAAATCTCAAAAGATGATCATATCGTATCCAACAAATTCAAAGTACATACCAGTTCCACCATCGCCAACAATAACCAGTTTGAAACTTGGGTAATCAACAGTTTGTTGGTTTGGCAAAGCCTAAAAACAATATATCAACAGAAAATCAATAAAACGAAACAAAGGCAAACAAAAACTAAACCATAACTTAAAACGTTTTTCATCGGAACAACACAAATCCGCATGAAATCATCGATTAAGACAATAAGGCGAGATCATACCATTTCGAAAGCTCTACGTTGACGAGAAGGAGCGGGATGAAGGCGTAGTAGAGAGGAGTTTGAATGGGGAGTTATATAGTAGGGAAGCTGGTTCAGATTCTGCGTATGAAAATAGCGATACCCTAGACCACATACAACACAAGTTTCTTCACTGATAAATGTTAGCCTTCATCTCACGCATCACTTTCTACCGTCCGATCAAATTCCTTCAGTGTAAGCCCTTGATTAACTTGTCACGTGATTGTCACGTGATAGTTGCGTAAGATGTGTTTTAAGAAAACTTTTATAATGAAAACCACCGGGAATGACAATGAAAAAGGAAAAATGAATTTTCATTTTTCTCCGTTTAATCTGAAATAAAAATTTGCGTAAGATGGGTTTAAACGAATGAATCTATTATATTATAAAAAATCAAACAGTTTTTTTATTTTTATTTTCATTCTCATTAATTACTGCTTAATACTTCTTACTAAACATCCTCCTTAATTTTATATATTATTCTAACTAGGGTTCAACCATTGGGTTTTAGGAACAGTTGAACGACCCAACCTTGATATTACATACAGAAACTTTTCGATTGCTCAACACTACTTTTAGGGTTGGGTTGATTGAGCTGTAACATAATAACAACGTACTTAATGAATTATTAGTCATTATTATTAATTACTCGACTTTTTTGTGCTACATGGGAAACAAATGAAAAGTCAGACTGACACCAAGAAGAGTTGAAGATTGTTGCAAATAAAGTGTGATACATTTTCATGAGTTATCTGATGACCATGAAGATAAAAGATGGTACGAACAACATATACAATATTAAATGCGTACAATATATAATAAAATTTTTATTGTAAATCATCGGTAAATGTACCCTTGAAGCATTAGTTGTGTACCTTGTAAATTTTTATTGTAAATCAAGAGCTATAAATAAATGAGCATTACAAAGTAAAATCCAAATTTTATATAGTTTTTCTTTCATGTTACGATAACTCCACACTTATGGGCTGTTTACGTGCGGCTTAATAAGGTTTATTGGTCTATCTGGCTTATTCGCACAACTCATTTGAATTGTTTACTTACGGCTTATTCATACAGGACATGGCTTAATCGTACAGATAGAAATGATGTGTTGTCCTCATTCAGCCACAAAAATGACACTCCTACCTCTTATTTAAAGCACCGCCTCCTTTCCATATGAGACACCCCATCTTCGGACTTCGGTCTCTTTATGATTTTTGTTTTGATGTTCAAATAATTAATATTTGGGGTAAATCGGTCATTTATGTTATTCAGACTGTTGGTTTAGATAAAAAAAAATAAACAACACCACCCATTTATCCAGACAAATAAATTTATCCAGATAGACAAATTTATTCATACAGGACTTAATAAAAAATTTGGTAAACAACCTCTAATATGTGTTTCAATATGTTTATCAGTTGGTTTCAATTATTTTGTGAAGATCGAACGTGGACTTTTAAAAACTTGTATGAGTGTAATAACAAGCTGAAAACTTTAATATTAAGATATTTTAAACATATGGGTACATGTCAATGAGATGCAATGTTTTATTGTAAATTGGTAACAGAAATTAAGTACAATTTATTACAAAAAGAAAATTTTAAATTTATGTTTGAATAAAAAATAAAAGTTATAAGCTGCTATCAAAGAACATGCCAACATGAACAAAAATTGCTTTTTAGGCCCAATTCCATCTTTTTTTTGTTGAGATAATTCTGACTTCAGTTATTAAATATTTCGTACTAAAAAAAATTCAAAAAATATACTGATATAGGTGTCAAATTAAATAATATAATATAAATATAATGATACAATTTACTTTATTTTTTATGATGAAGTATTTTTTTTTAGATAAAGTTAATGATAACGTATTTTGTTGTATTTGATTATCATGTAAGTTTTTTTGGTGGAGTTCAATGATTATCATGTATATGAATGTGTTTATCGGTTGGCCATTGGTTGTTTTATAGAGTTTGAAGAGCAATTCTTGTGCATTACAGAACAATACTTAGGAGCCGTTTACCAAACACTTACCTGGTAAGTGTTTACCGGTAAATTTAACACTATTATTTACTTGCAGGATAAGATTTTAGTCCGTCAAAACGATATTATATGCAACAATTACCCGGTAAGCGCAACCGTGGTAAGAGTCGTCGCATTCACTTACCGGGTAAGACTTTTGGTCGTTATCTTGTTCTTACCGGGTAAGATTCTTGATCCTTACCATATTCATTTGGTAAGGTAAAATGACTTGATGTTCATTTACCCAAGTAAGCATTTGGTAAACGGCCCCTAAATGTTTAATAAATTGTTTTTGTGACTTTTACTTAAAAAATTTAATTAGTATTAATATTTGTTGTGAATTTATTTAATGTATTTTTAAAAAATATCAAAACAAATCCAAATTTTATTTGTATTTTAATTTTAACTTAAAATCGACTATAATATGTTGTTTGGTCATGTAAAGACTATTTGTACATCTCAAAAATGATGCCATAAAAACCTTCCAACAATCCAACGAGTTAACTAAGAACTATTCAAAATCAACGGTAAGATAAGGGATAAGATGGTCAAAAAATTAATGGGTCATACATCCAAGGTGTTCACCGAAATAAAAAGAAGGATCAAAATCACTTTAACGAACATGGCAAGATAATTAACCAAATCAAACATAAAGTGTGATTGGAATGCGACAACCATCAAATGGAACTGTTCAAACATATCCACATTTAGAAAGCTGGATTGGTTGGGGCCAGTGCTAATCGAGCAACAAAAGGTGAATATAATTAAATCAAAGGTAAAAAAAAAGTGTAAGTTTCTGGTTACCATTATGAACTAATAGACCCCAGTTGATTGACGCCGATGTCAATTGAAGAGGTTTATTGAGTTGGCTTATAAAAAGACGTGTATGCGTGTAAACGTACATACATACACACACACACACACACACATATATATATATATATATATACATACATACATACATACATAGGTATGTATTATAAAAATGAAAAAGAGATGTATACTAATAGGATAAATACACACCATGTATCATCTTTTTCATTTATTAAAGTGAAGTTACATATAGAATAAAAATCACACCATTTTCAACTCTCTTTATATACCCTTCTTAGGTTACTACTCTTATGTATGAAGTCCATTATACTAAATTAAGAAAAACCAAAAAAAGAGCTTGTTTATTCTTTACTAAATAAAAAAACCGTCCTTAGTTTAGAAATATTCCAATCACTTTAGTTTGGAACCAAATTGACCATGGCTTCTCGATCCTTTCACGCAAGTCTACGAGGGTTTCGAACACTCAAAAGCTTAACATCATCGATGACAGGTCCACACAGTGAAGAGAAATCGTCACTTCTCATAGTGTAAAAAGTACTGTAGAACATGATTCTGGTTCTTGTGCTAGTTGCCACAAACTTAAGAACCGCACGCTTAAACCCTCCTTTACCCTTCGACTGATAAGGCACTTTGAGGGTTTCTTTGTTGGCGAACGCCTCCACAATCATAGACCCTTCACATGCGTTGTTAGCATCTCCAACAGCGAAGAAAAGTTGATATGTCTTCCCAACAACTGTTCTGGCTACTTGAGCTATCGCACTCTCCTTCCCTGCCACAAGCTCGACAGCCCGTCTTCCTTGTGGTACCGAGAAATGGTCCACGTCAATGTACTTTACAGCTTTAAGTGACTCCACCATCCAAGCCGGGAGTGGAGAGTGATCATCTTCGATGTTTGGTGGTACCAACACACCCCATGATGTGTTTGGAAATATATACGGCCCTTCTTCAAATCCTCCGTTTTTCAGTATATTATCTACATCAATCAGATTCTTAAAATCAAAATACATCTTTTTTTTTACATTAAAATACCTTGTATATTAGTGATATGTCACATCATTTAATATATACACATGGATTGATGTGCCATTTTTGCACCCACAAGATGTTATGGATCAATGCCACCATGTACTTGGATTTTGTGTGGCAAAGAAACATTAAAGTGTTGGATTTTGCAAGTGAATTATAACCACAGCTTGCATATAAAAAAGGTCACCATGACACCATTCAATAATTCAATTTTCAAATGTCCCCACAAAAATATGTTTTATAGATTGTAAAATATAACTGTTATTATCGTATACAGATGTATTTTCTTATCCTTAAGACGTTTTGTACTATCGACAAAATCTCTTGAATTCGATATTGACAACTTTACCAATCACATGCAAGTCGTTTGCTTATTTGGTTTTTGGTTTTCATTTGAGGGGTTCTTTTTCAAGTGGGTACTTGACAGAACAAGCTAAGTTACGTTTATTATACATTGTCGGGAAAATATTTAAGACTGTTGTCTTGTTATTTATAACAAATCAAGTACGTTTTGTTATGTATAAAAGTTGTTTCAGTGTATGTTCATATGTAGGTCCTAAAAATGAAAATAAAGCACGTACAATTAATGAAAACAGGTCAAGTGAATGAAAAGTCATTAAGACGAAAAAAGTACGTCAAAATCATAAAAAATTGCATGTCATAGAACGTAATTTACGTTAATGTTAACCAAATTTTATGTGAGTAACCATCGATCGACTCACGAAATGATTGGTTTTTTTGAATCAAGAATATACTTTTTACAATAAAATGATTTTACTGACCTTTTGATGGTCTGGGAGGGTATAAAGTTTTGATGGCAATAGAATCGATAAGCGGGCCACATGCCGGATCCTCCTCGACTCCGGGATTATGTAGCAAAATCGTAACTGTACTATACTCGGCCTGGAAAGCCCATGCATATGAATCCCATCCGCTACTGCTATATAAAGTTTGCATCGGTAACACCCCAAAATCAGGTGCAACCGACACATTCAATTTCTCTTCCTGCGCACATGTTCGAGCAGCACTAAACGTGATGGAATAATACATCCCTTTAGTCACGTTTATGGTCTGCTCGATTGTTGCTTCATTTCCAAGCCTAACTGCATAGGCTCCCTCGGGGACAACCAGCAACATGTCCCCTTGTTTTTGCCCCGATTTTATATACTCAACGAAACCAGATATCTTCCACCCTGGGATTGCATCGTGCTTTAGCACCTCCGTGCCTTTCATGTCCTCAGGCTTCGGCCCGAGCTCGAAGTTCCCGTTTGACAACAATCCTACATTTTTATCAATAAAACAAAAATCATTTATACAGTAAAAAACATTTAATGAGTTCAAGTCTCTTCAATTTTGTAAATAAATTCAAATATAGAATGAAAATCTTAAATACATTTATCCTAATAGTAGACAGCGTGGCGTGAGCATGTGCCAACCCACGTGCAATTGCAGACATTTCATGTACAACCATCTGATGCGTTGATTCGTACAACTTCATCAAAAAATTTAAGGGTCGTTTACCTAACACTTATCCAGTAAATGCTTGCTTGTAAAATTCAAAACTATCACTACTTACCGGGTAAGCTGTTAGTCAACAAAAAAAGTTTCGTATGCAACAATTTACCCGATAAGTGCTAACCGTCGTAAGAGTTATCATCCTCACTTACCGGGCAAGACTCTTGGTCTTCGCCTTGTTTTTACCGGTAAGATTCTTGGTCATTACCATATTCATCCGGTAAAATAATGTGATTTGATAAGCGTTTGTTAAACGGTCCCTTAATCATGAAAAAGAGTATCATTTATGATTTAAAACATGCATTTTTATATCAAAAACTCGTTTTAAGATAAAGATTTGTAATTAAATTAAACTACCTAAAAAAAACGATGAAACGGTGGAAAAGGAAATATTGATTTAATTAACGAAGGTAGTAGAAGAGTAGTGGATTGTAGGTTACCGTCGGTGATTGCGACGGCGGTGTAGGTGGTGGCGCAAAGCAGCAGCACCGACAGTACGGTGGCTGCTTCCATTATTGAAACCCTGTTCATATATGGAGAGAGATTAGAGATGGAGAGAGAGAGAAACTTGGTTTGGAGTGAAAAATAGAGTGAGCAGAGAGGCGGTTTTATGCATGCAAACCCCTACAAAGGCCCTCGTGCTTATAGATATTAACGAAACTACCCCTCAACTTATGCACCACACTTTAAATGACAAATTGCACTTTATTTTCTGTATCTTTCTAAGTTTTATTAGAAGACAAAAGTTGTACCTCTTATTATCGTTAATGAAATTTATATGTATATTTGTTATCTCATTTTTCAATGTATCAAAAGGCATCAGGTGTAACAGTATCTTCAAAAAGATTGGAACGTCCATGATAATTTTAATATTTTTTGTTCATAAAATTATAGCATATTTTTTTTTGCATTAAAACGTAACATGTTTCCCAAAATAAAGTGTTTGAAGTAGTTAGGTTTACATAATATAATTTATAACAGATTGTGTTTTGTTTTACTGTAAATCACCAACTATATGAGCAACTCATCTGCTTATACGCTATAAGTCTAAAATATAGATAGTAAAATTAAAACACGGTTGCTTTTGTAGATAATCATGTATTCAAACATACATGTGTACCTATACATACACACACACATATATATACATACTACATATATTCTTTTAAAAATGTGTTGCAAAACATAAATCGACCACTAAATATAGCGACCTTTTTTTCTTTGATGAAACTGTTTATGTCGTTTCTTGAAAGTACTACTGGCAAATACCCTAGCTATCATCATATGGTGTATATTTATATGTGTATCATATGGTTTTTCGACAAGAACGTAGGAGTAAACGGCATGTTCGGTGTTTTATACGTATGGAATGGAGCATAGTTAAATGATCATGGGCTGCTACGACTTAACCATATATTAAGTTGATCAAAATTAGGTTAGGTGGTACCTAGGGAGGGTTGCAACTAGGGGTGGGTTGGGGTGGTCACATGGTTCATCTCCTAAGGTACCGCAAAGCATCTAGGATCCAAATTATATGCACTTGATCTTCCTTTTCACTCATTTTGAGGGTTGGAATACCATAATTTATAGCTGTTATTAAATTTAAGGGTGGGTTAAATACGTACTTTCATATATATCCATTAATTATACATCAATAATATAAAACATAACTTTAATGTTTCAGCTATAATTTTCGGAATCTTGCATAAAATTGGACAAGAAAAGAATTACAGCTAAAACTCTGGTATTTTCTAAAGACAAAGACCCGAGACACCCTATGTTGTTCTTTATGAAATCCCCAAAAAGGATTTGGATCCTTTATCAATAAACTATAAGACAAAAGATCGTGTAAGAATAAGAGTTAAAATGAGAAGTGTAAGAAAAGATTTGGATTCTTTATCACCTTTAGTCTCAAACCAACTCATGAATTGCGCTTTAAAGACGAGATTTGTAGGTATATAACCTTAAATGAGATTTTAATTAGTGTTGATCTAGTGGAACCCTTCAATTATGGTTGATTTAAAGGTGAATATCTCTTCTTACCTTTCTCATTATAACTTTCATTCTCATCGAAACTGAACTATAAATTACAAAATATATCAAATATTATGGGTTTCACATGTGGGACATATAAGAATTTAGAATATATATTGCTAATAAATGTAATCATTGATCAAATGACAAAATTAAGTTTTTTTAAGTAAAAAACAAAATTAACATTTAATTATAATTCGATTATTAATTATAAAGAAGCATATTACGTGATTTTGAAATAATAAAGTCAAAATTAATTTTGTTGACTTAATGTAATAATAAAGAAAATAAAATCTTGATTTGTGTTTGATTGGTTTGAACAAGTTGCACGTGGGTGTAAACCAATTATCCAACATGATTTCTAGTCATTGACCCCATAACTTTAATTTCATTAATTAACTAGGTAACTTTACAGCGCTTCGCGCGGTCGTTGTTGTTTGATGAAAGAAAGTATCGATAAGTTTAAATTTGATACAAAATATTAAAAGGTATCACAATAATTGTGTTACAATTTTATTTCTGAATGTTTTATTTTGTTAGAATAAAGAGAGTTAGAATACATTGGTTGTAGAAAAATGAATATATAAGTTTGAATTCGATATAAAGTGTTAAAATATATCAGAATAATTATGGTACAATTTTATTTCTGAATATTTTATTATGTTAGAATAAAGAGAGTTAAAATATATTGGTTGCAGAAAAATGAATATGTAGCGTAAAAGAAGTAAAATTGTGAAATAACAGATAATACATTCTATAGATATATAACTAATTTCTTGGTTTTGGTTGTCTTATTATTATAAGAATAAAGAGAGGTGTAATATATTTCTTGTGAAAAATAAAAATATAATTTATAAATAACATATATCAATTCGGTATATTATTATGTGTAAAGCCGAATATTACGTTTTATAATGAAAAATCCAATAAAACTGTGACATGGAACGTGGTTATAATATAAAATTATCAAATATGTTTTAGTTCGAAAATATATAATTTTTTTTCCTTCTATGAATATCCCGAATCCTAAAAAAATGTAGTAGAAGATAAATAATTAATTGTTTACAAAAACAATCTGCAATCTTCAAAATGAAAATAACAAAAATTGAGGTAGTAATTTAAAATAAAAACATACAATTTCCACGTTTTGTATATCCAGTCTCATGGAGATATTGGAGCATCTAAATAGTTTTCTCGAAACTTCAGAGATGAAGAAAACACACCAACAATTGATTTTGCCATAGACTTTTCTTGTTATTCCTTATATTGTTTCTCTAATCTCCTTCAGTTTGCTTTTAATCGCAGACAACAGAGTAGATAGAGAGATCGAGAAAATAAAAGTAAAACACCCATAATTATTGTTTCATATCTTTCTATAGATGCATAAAAAGATAGAGAGAGGCGTACCGCCAGCTATATTGTCAATCCATAATTTTTTATAGGGATCGCAAGATAGAGAAGAGCAAAGAAGTTTGTGATAGAAAGATGTAGAAGAGAAAGAATTGTAACTGTAGAAGATGAAGAGTAAAAAAGTATATGATAGAAAGACGTAGAAGAGAATGAATTGTAACTGTAGAAGATGAAGAGTAAAAGTCTTAGATTAAATATAAAACCTAAAATAAAAGGAAAAAAATGAAGACATGAATACTAGTACAATGAGATGACACGTCAACATTGTATGTTTCTGCTTTATAGATATATATAGATTTATATATTTTTATTTTGATATCGCCACAAATGCATAGTAATTTAAGTACATATTCATTAATACATTATAAATAAGGTTTTTTTGTAATATAAAACTTAGCTGGATGGAATGATAATTGAATATTTATGGTCTTTTTCATATGTATTCGTGTCATAAAAAAAATTTATCTGATATTATTATAATAAAATTGATTTTATGGGATGTTTAAAGTTTCTAAGTATTATAATAAAATATTTATATTACTTAATTTTATAGGATCAAACCAAAAAGTATTTTGTCTAAAAGTAATAAAATAGGTTTATAAAACATTTTTAGGTATTTCTACAAGTTTTATATAGGACGTTTTTAAAATAAAGTGTTATATTAGCTAATGTATACAACACTATTTAAAAAAGAGTCTTATAATTATAAAATATTTCTCAAAAGTGTTCAATAAAATAGTTAATACGATACTTTATTTCAAAAATATTCTAAAAAACTTGTTAAAATTCCCAAAAACGTACTACAATTCTGATGTAACACTTTTAAATAAGATGTTTTTGGTTTGATCTTATAAACTAAAATTATATAAAGTATTCTATTATAATGTTTAGACGTTATACGCGTCTTATAAAACATTTCTCAAAAGTGTTTAATAAAATAGTTAATACGACACTTTATTATAAAAATATTCTGAAAAAACTTGTTAAAATGCCTAAAAACGTACTACAAACATGATGTAACACCTTTAAATAAGATGTATTTTTGGTTTGATCATATAAACTAAAATTATATAAAGTATATATTATAATGTTTAGACATTCTAACCGTCTTATAAAGCCAATTTTATTCTAATGCATGCATATTATAGCAGTTGTATCTATTATGTTATTTACGTTTAATAAGGTCAATATTGAAGGGCAATATGATAAATCAATAAACTGAAGAAATATCACTTTAGCATATACAAGTAGAAAAATGCATAAAAGTTTAGCTACTGGTTTTATCTATTTTTCAAAAATAAAGAATTTTTAAAGTTTATATGGTTTAGATTATGTATGGAGTCATATAATCACTTCCGAGTTTTGACTAATCATTGATACTAAATGTAACCAAACCAATTATCAAACGGTACAAGAAATTACTTATATACCCTTGTTTCATACTCTTTTAAGTAATCATTAATTTGACCAACATTTTCTTTGGTGATCATGGGTTTTTGGGTCAGATTATCTGTACCGATTAATCTCCTGAACGATCATAATTGACTTAAAGTCATTACAGATAAACCTCTAATTACAAAGATTTTGATAACACCTGATGTTTAAAAATGGTGATTTTGATAACTTCTATCATATTTTATTTTATATCATATAATCATTTTCACTTCAAACATCCTTTGAATGAACATTGTATATGCATACACAACAACCCATGTAACAAAATTGTAACAACACATGTGACCATCATATGCAACCATTAATTTTTTAATAGATAGTATGTCATTTTAGGAATTTATACATGATCATATTACTAAGAATGCCACATGTCAAACTTCCATGAAAAGGAGGTGTGACAATGAAACTTATAAGACTTTTGGTTCAATAAAGAAATGATGGAATTGAGACTTGATATGTGCACTTTGTTAGGTGCAAAAATACACACCCATTCAATGGATATCTTGGTGGTATTTCTTTTCTATTGCTATATGAAGGCTACTAAATATAGAAAGAAAATAGATACAAGGGTTCCCTTTCCAAAAAGATTGCCACCCAAAAATAAGGTTATCCTTTTAACATAGTGACAAAAAAAAGGTATAATATAATAACCACAAGGGTGGTGTCTGATTGGTT